TTTTTTGCACAGGATTCGCGGCCTGGGTCCATGACAGAGCATCGCGAGTGCACCGCGCGATGACGTGAAATCGCTGGATTTGACCGAAATCTTAAGATTCCTATGGTTTTCCTATGATTTCAGCAAGAGAGCCCGGGCGGGAAATTTGTACAATGTTTGTGAAAAAGCATTGGGTTTTTGATGTTTTTATGTTGACATGCTTGCAAACACACGGTGTTCGGTAGGATTCTGACATGAACGCGCGCGTGTGCTCTTTGTTGTATTTTTTGCAATGGATTATCGCCGTGGACGACAGGACGTCCATGTCGAGAGGAAAAAATAAAAAAATGTTGATGTTGTATTGTTTTTTACAGGTTAGGATGGGACCACCCGGATGCGGCCCCTATCGGCCGGCGTGAGGGGGAGTAGGAGTATATTCTAATAAGGAATAAGGATAGGAGTAAGCGTAAGGTAAGAGTAAGAGTATGAGTAGTGGTATTTGTTGGTTTGTAGTAGTTGTAGGTGTAGTAGTAGTGTAAGTTGTAGTAATACTTACCTACTACTTTACTACGACGCGACGAACTTACTACTACTACTACTACTACTACTACTACTACTACTACTACGACTACTACTACTACTACTACTACTACTACTACTACTACTACTACTACTACTACTACTACTACTACTACTACTACTCGTAGTTGTAGTAGTAGTAGTTTGTGGTGACGCCGAATATGGGGCGGCGGGCTCTACTGCATCGGCTCTAGAGCGAGAGCAAGGGGCCGGAGTGGGAAACTGACACCTGCTTCGGGGGTGCCAAAGACGTGTGGTGACGGACCGCGCGGTGACCTGAGAATCCCCAACGACCTCACCGCGCGGTCCGTCATTTCACGGTATGGGAGCCGCGGAAGCCAAAGTCGCCCAAAACGTCCTCGGAGAACGATCCGGGCCCAAAAAACGTGCGGTGACCCCGAATCCCCACTGACTCACCACGCGGCGTGGTCACCACACCGTTTGGGGCCCCCGACTACGGCAGGTTCGTGTCGTGACGACCCTGGGGTTGGTTTCTGACACCACTTGGATCGCTCAACCTTTAACGATCGGCCGCCTCTCGATTGCACGATCGTTCCGTTTTCGCCGATTCTGGGCCACTGGCGGCGTTCCGCCTTGAATGCCCGCGGCGGGATCGCCGCCGCGCCGGCACGACACGAACCTGCCGCGTCCGCTCTGTGACGAGACCTCCCCCCCTGACTTGGGGGCCCCAAAACCATGCGGTGACAGCCCGTGCGGTGACCTTGAAATCCCAGAGAGGAGGAGGAGGAGGAGGAGGAGGAGGAGGAGGAGGAGGAGGAGGAGGAGGAGGAGGACGAGAAGGAGGAGCAGGAGAAGGAGAAGGAGGAGGAGGAGGAGGAACTGACGTTCGGGGCCCCTGGAGAGGCCCCCGCTCGCCCGAGAGGTCCTCAGGGAGCGACCTGCTGCTCCCCAGAGCCGCGCACAGCCAGCCCGAAGCCCCACTGCCCCCCCCAGAGATCCGACGTCTGGCTGTTGTTCAGCACGGAGCCCCCGAACTTAGTGGGCCCTGGAAACGACAGGCCCGTTTTTGTTACTGGTTCCGTTTTGCTGTTTTTGTTGCCGGTTCCGACGCCATTGTTGTACCGGTTCCGTCGCCGTTTTGTGACCAGTTCCGGCTCTGGTTCCAATCCTGGAGCCGTTTTTTTTGCCGTTTCCGGTCGCCGTTGTTTTGCCGTTTCCGTTTTCAAGGGACATTTTTGGGGAAACGGTGAAAAAACAGCCCTGCCGTTTCCGGGGCCCACAAAGCCCCCGAAGTCCCGACGCTTTCCCAGGGGCTGGCTTTTCGTCCCGAGTCGTCTGTGCTGCCGCAGCCCAGCGAGGGCCCCCAGAGGCCGGTCGGCTACACGCAAGAGTGACCCTGGGTAAGAGTGACCTTTGGTGCGCGGCTTTTTGGGGGCCGCGGGGGGACCAAACACAGGCGCGCAAGGCGCTACTATCGCATCGCGTTCGGCGATTGGGGGGCCCCACTGGGCCCGCACCAAAGGTCACTCCAGCGAAAGGTCACTCTCACGTGTAGTCGAGGCCGGAGACGACGAGGGAAGTCCGCCCCGGGCCTCTCGATGCGACGGCGGAGGCCCGGGCTCACCACGAGGCGTGGCCGCCGCACCGCTCGGGGATCGCCGGCCACAGCCGACCCGCATCACAAGGGCGCACGATAAGATAAGGATTAGGGGGAAAACAAACCGACCTCGCTTTTGACCACCCTCGCTTCCAAGAGATACCAAACGATGCCAAACTGCAGCCTGTACTGGTCAGGCCGCTTGACGAGGAGGCGCGTGGTGTGGCTTGGTTTTGTCTGGAAGCGAAAGCGGGGTAGGTAATTCACGCTCTGAAGGATGCAGGGGCATCAGAAGGCCACTGCGGAGCTTTCCGAGCGGGGCGCGGCCAGCAAAAGTGGCCAAGGCAAGGATGCAAGGGTACATTTCTAGAAGAAGGAAAGACCACACAAACATAATCTTTTGGCGCTCCGCGCGGGTTTCTTGGATTCACGCTGGACCCCCCTCCCTGGCGCGCGGAGCGCGCCAAGGGCGCCGCCGGGGGGCCCAGGCGCGGGTTCCAAAAATCCACGCGGAACGCAAAAAGTTTATGCTCATGTGTTTTTTTCTTCTTCGACCTTAGGAAGGTTGCCCATCCCTATCATTCGGTCGGGAATGTCCCCCTACAGGCGGGTTTTGGGCGAAACATGTGAAAATACCCCCAAAAAATAAACCTACATACATAAAATAATCCAAAAAATCGTCCCCGGACTATTTTGTTTACTATGCTTGAATATTCCCCCTGTAAGGGGGACAGGCCCGACTGAACCCCAGCACGCGGCTTGACTGTGTCGCAGTGCGCCCCGCGCGCCCCCCAGAGTCGGCGGTGGACAAGCCTCCCTTTCTTAAACTTCCCTCTAGTGAAGACGGCCCGGGGCCGAAACCGACGGCCCCGCGAAAAGGACGGCCGCGACGCCCCCTCGCGAGCCGACAGCGGCCAATTCGCTGATCGGCGTGTCGGGGTATGGGAGCTCTGTCCACCCCCGGCGGAGGCGCGGGCAGCGTGGCCAGGCGGCGGGCCTCGAGGACGGGGGCGCTCTTCGGCCGCCCCCCCCCTCGCTTAAGGGAGCCCAAGGGGGACCCGAAGACCAGGGTGAAGACGGCCGCTGCGGAACCCTCGCAGCGCCAAGTTTCGGTAGGGAGCCCCGGGGGGGCCCGGGGAGCCCGAAGACGGGGGCGAAGACGGCCGCTGCAGAACCCCCTCGCTTGGGAGCCCCGGGGGGCCCGAAGACCGGGGCGAAGACGGCCGCTGCGGAACACTCGCAGCGCCAAGAGTCGATAGGGGGCCGCATGCGAGCCCGACCCCCATGTCCCCCACGATTTCTGAGGAGGAGGGTGGGGTTCGCTTCCTTCGGGAGCTCCCCAGCGAAGCGAACCCCACCCTCCCCCTCAGAAATCGTGGGGGGTAGGGGTAGGACTCGCATGCGGTCCCCTATTTGAGGAAGAAAAGACTGCAGAAACATGAACTTTCGGCTCCGCGCGGAGCTCTTGCATCTGCGCCGAATCCCCCTCCCTGTCGCGCCGAGCGGGCCTGAGGGGTTCCAAGCGCCGACCCAAGAAATCCGCGCAGATCGTCGAACAGTGCTATTCATGCCGTGCCTTCCTCTTCGAATCAAACCTCAGGGATCGTCGGCGCCGCCGCCGCCCGGTCCTCCCCAGCCCTGCACTTGGCCTCGAGCTCCTGCGCGCCCTGGCGCAGCAGCTCCAGCTGGCCCTCGAGATCCCTGCGGTGCTGGCCGAGCGGCTCCTGGTCGCACGTCGCCGTCGCTGGCTCGTCGCCGTCGCCGCCGCCGACTCGTCGCCGCCGTCGTCCCCCGAGACCCGGGCGTTGCAGAGTCGTCACAGCGGGCGTGCTCGCCCAGATTGCGGGGGCCTGGGACCATCACAGATCGGTGCGGCGCGGAAAATACCGCAGCAAGATGGGGTCCAGGGGTGCGGCCATGATTTTTCTCAATGCTGCCATTCTGTCCCGACGTCTGATCTCAGGGTCATCAGGCGCCGTCGCTGCCGTCGCTATCGTCGTCGTCTCGTAGCCGCCGGTGCCTGCCGGAGCGGCTCCTGGTATACAGACGTTGCGAGCACCGAAGCACCCCCGACGGACAACATACGATCAAACACCGCGCAGTCCGGGGACGCGACGCGCAAGCGCGGCTCCGATTCGACAGCCTCCGCCGCTAGAGCATTCAAGAACCGCGCCAATCGTTCGCCCGCCCGACCTCCCTGCGCCGAGGATCACTCCCGAGAGCGCTCCGACGATTCATCGCGCCTCCGCGGTCTCCGTCTCCGTCGCCGTCGCTGTCGCCGACTCGTCGCCGTCGTCGTCTCCGTCGCCGCGCTTCGCCGACGTCGTCGTCTCGTCGCCGCCGGTGCCTGCCGCAGCGGCTCCTGGTCTCCGCGGTCTCCGTCGTCGTCGTGGCAGCGGCCGTGGTCGTCGTCGTCGTCGTCGTCGTCGTCGCCGTCGTCGCCGCCGTCGCCGCCGTCGTCGTCGTCGGGGACCTCCGGGGACCTCCCCAGGCGTGCGAGGGCGCGGTTGCTCGGGCCGCGGCCCTCGGAGCTCCCAGCGGCCTCCCGAGGGAGGGGCTGCTCGGTGCAGGGCAGATCGTGGACGGGCCCCGGGTCCGGCAGCGGACCCCCGGAGGCCAAAGCCGAGGATGAGGCGCCACGGCCGAGGCGAGGGGCCCGTCGGGTCTCTGGGCCTGGGGGCTCCCGAGGGTGGGGGGAGGGCACTCGCCGAAGAGAGAGAGGAGGGCGGCCAACAGGGCAAGAGACGAAGGGAAAGAGAAGTCTCACCATGCCTCTTCCCGTCCTCTCGTACCTCCTTCTCCCCCCACACTCCGTCCTTCCTACCCCCCACGTTTCTGCTGTTTGTGTTTGCTGCTTGCGTTTGTCAAACACGCTCTGCTGTTTGGCAAAATGCCCCAAAACTGCTGTTTGTGTCCTGCTGTCTGTGTTATGCTGCTTAGCTGCTCTCTGCTGCTTGTGTTCTGCTGCTTGCGCTTGTCAAAAATGCTTTGCCGTGTGCGTTCTGCCTCGGCTCTCATCGGCGACACGCTCTGCTGCTTGTGTGTTGTGGCCAGGGGCACGCGGCCGCGCGCCCAGAAGAGTGCCCACGCCCCGCCAAGTGCGACAGGTCGGCGACGCTCGGCGCCTCCCCGCACACCTGACACGGGCGGGCCTCCGAGGCGCGGCGCAGCCGACCTTCGCCCGAGGCCCGAGACCCTGCTGGACCCCGTGTGCTTCGGACAACCACATCCACAGGAGAAACGTGTGCTTACAGTCAAAACGTGTATTAAGGGTGGCTGGTAAGGACGCAAGACCCTTGGAGGCCGAAGCGGGGACTCTTGGGGCGGCGGGCGACCAGTGAAAACGGCAGAGGACAGGCCGCAGGTGCAAGGACACAAGGGCACCCTAGGTGAAGGCGCGCGTCCTTACTAGGCGCGTTGACTGTAGGACAATTACATCAACAGGAGATATGTCGACCCCTGTCCCAGGCTTCGTGGGGCTTTCGGCTGGACCGGACAATTGGGGCCCAGCCCTGGGATATGCGAGGGGGGGGCGTCCATCCTCGAGAGGGGTGCGTCCGAAGAGCCCCCTTGGGGTGAATCCCAGGGTTTCCTTCCATGCATGAGCGGCTTCCTTTCCTGTCGAAAAGTCGGAGGTTGGGTCGGGAAAAATCGCCTGCGATACAACTTCCAGGTGAGTAGAGGCCTCCGTTATGTGGTCCGCGTAAATGGGGTCGGAGGATCTCGTCGCTTCGGCGATGCACTGGCGAAGTCGGCGTGGAGAGAAGTGGGCCCCATCGCCGATGCATCGCCGATGCACCGGCGACGCGGCACGATCCTCCGACTCCATCTACTCCGACCCCATCTAGAAGGCGTAGATTTCTCTGAGCGGCTTGCTTTTTCGTCGAAACGTCGGGGGCTGGGCGGGGGGGGAGGGGAAATCGCCTGCGATACAAAACTTCCAGGTGTGGGGGAGGAAGGGTCGGCGACTCCCTGACCGGATGCACTCAGAACCGGGTTAGTCGCGCCTTGCAGGACCCTGCAGGATCCTGCACCCAACCCTGGGTCAGTACACCCCTGGCCCTGCAGGATCCTGCAAGATCCGGCGCTCTGACTGTCCTCCTCCTCCTCCTCCCCTCTCCTCTCTTCCTCGCCTCCCTTCCTCCCCTCTCCTCCACCTCCTCTCCTCCACCTCCTCCTCCTCCTACTCCTCCCTCCTCTCCTCCGCATCCTCCTCCTTCTCCGTCTCCCTCCTCTTCCTCCTCCTCCTCCATCCTCTCTCCTCCTCCTCTCCTCTCCTCATCATCATCATCATCATCATCATCATCATTCATCATCATCATCACATTCATCATCATAATCCATCATCAGCATCATCATCATGTCGTCTCACCATCATCATCATCATCAGCATCATCATCATCAGCAGCAGCAGCATCATCATCATCATCATCATCATCATCATCATCATCATCATCATATCATTCATCATCATCATCATCATCATCATCATCATCATCATCATCATCATCATCATCATCATCATCTTCGTCATCATCATCATCATCATCATCATCATCATCATTTTCATCATCATCATCATCATCATCATCATCAGCATCATCATCATCATCATCATCATCATCATCATCATCATCATCCAAAACTCCCGAAGGGGGAACGGCGGCGCCTCCCTGGCCTCAAGCCCACCCCTTGCCGCGAAGGCACCGAGGCGCTCCCGTCGTCCCCAAGGGGAGCCCACAGGTTCGTCCTCCTCCTCCTCCTCCTCCTCCTCCTCCTCCTCCTCCTCCTCCTCCTCCTCCTCCTCCTCCTCCGCCTCCTCCTCGCCCGTCGGCCCCAAGGGGGGCCCACAGGTGCGGCCACTGCGTCCAGGCCTGGCGCGGCCGCCAGCCCCTGCGGTTCTTGCGGGAGGCGGGTCCCGCGGGGTCCCGGTGAGGCCCCCGCGGCGCCCTCGTCGCCCGGGGGCATTTGGGAAATGTGTGGGGCACTGAAACTCCCTATCCGACTCCCGTCTCTGGCCGACTCTGACTAGCCGACTGGCCGACTGGCCGACTGGCCGACTGGCACACGCCTCAAGAACTTTCCTTCTGGAGGGGAGGACGGAAGGAGAATTCGAGGCGGCGGCGGCGGCGATGCGACGACGACGGTGCTTGGGCGGCGGCGTGGCCTCCGTGGTGGCCAGCTGCGCGCTCACAGCGCGCAGGGGCTGGTCGTAGAGGTCCAGGTTCTTCCTCTCGCAGGCGACGAGGAGGAGGAGGAGGAGGAGGAGGAGGAGGAGGAGGAGGAGAAGAAGGTGCAGGAGGAGGAGGAGGAGGAGGAGGAGAACGAGGAGAAGGAGGAGGAGAAGTTGGGAGATAAGGGCTAGTCAGCCCGATTGAGGTGCAAGTGAGCGGAATGAGGCCCGGTTAAGCCCAAGATTGAGCCGCATCACAAAGGATTAAGCCAGATTCAGCGGGATCGGCCAGGGATATTATACAAGCGGCGATTCTGAATTAAACCTCCCAGGAGTTGCAGAGGAGGAAGGAGGAGAACCCAGACATCGAACGTCCCAACGAAAACAGCAAGACGCAGGTTTTCAGCTGATTTCGACCTTCATGGGCCCTAGCCGGGCCCCGGGACGAAAAGCTGGCGGGGGAAGGGTCTGGACTTGCGGGGACCCCGCATTGGCAAAATTAAGACATCGGATCTTCGGGGAGGAGGAGGAGGAGGAGGAGGAGGAGGAGGAGGAGGAGGAGGAGGAGGAGGAGGAGGGAGGAGGAGGAGGAGGAGGAGGAGGGGGGGGAGGAGGAGGAGGAGGGGAGGGGAGGAGGAGGAGGAGGAGGAGGAGGGGGAGGGGAGGGGCGAGGGGGGAGGACGACGAGGAGAAGGAGGACGGCGACGACGAGGAGGAGAGAGAGAGAGAGAGGAGAAAGCGTGGAAACTGTCGGCTTGCGTGACGTCCAGCTTGCCCTCAGGGTCTCGCCGAGGAGCACCCCTTCTTGTGGGCAACGGCATGTGAACCCTACCCCTGCAGGTCGGATTTCTGAAACGCTGGAAGGGTTCCAGAACTCGGGAAAGTCTGCGGCCAGGAGAGATAGATGCGCCAAGAGCAGCGCTGAGTGATGGGCGCTGGACAGCAATGGCCTTGACCCTGACCCGCCCGCACCGCAGCGCGCAGGATGGGCTACGCAGCGCAGCGCTGTCGGCCAGCGAAGGAGAATGCAGGACCTTGCTGCGCAGGCGCGCTGGGCCAGCACCGGCATGACGACTCGGCTACACGCGAGAGAGACCCTGCTGGCAAGAGTGACCCTGGTGCGCGGCTTCAGGGAGCCGCGGGGAGGCCACGTCCAAGCGCGCCGGCCATTGCTGGGGCGACTCTTGTGGGCCCGCTCCAGAGGTCACTCCGGCGAAGGGTCACTGAGTAGACCGTCGCTCTTTGAGTAGGAGATCGACTGCAAATTCGACTTGCCCCAAAACTGTGCTTCGCAGAATCTGCACAAATATGCAAAATGTTCGCAGACCTACGAAAATCCTGTTTATCTTGCTTGATTTGGCGAACACTTCCACTTTACGGTAAATTAATCATGTAGGTGAACGTTTTCTTATTCGGTGTCTCGACATTCGGCGGAAGGGGGGAGGGTGGGGGATCTGGCTCTGGACCTCTGCTGAATGCGACTGTTTGCAGCAGTGCGTCCCATGAGCAAAGCAGCGCACGCAGCTGGTTCTCCTGGCGCCTCCCGGATCGCCGGAGGAACCCCCGAGCATCCAGGAGAGCGCCGAGCGGCGGGGCCGAAACCGGCCGCATGCCACAGATTAAATGACACCCCTTTCCCAAAAAGGGGCCCGAAGAAGCTGGTAACACGTCGCCCTGGTCGACGTCGACGCCGACGTCGTCGACGTCGGCGGCGGCGGCGGCGACGGCCACGACGGCCACGACGGCGGGCGATCGCGACGACCACGACGGCGGGCGATCGCGACGACGACGACGACGACAACGACGACAACGACGACGACGACGCGACGACGACGACGACGACGACGACGACGACGACGACGCCGCGACGAGGGAGGGGGAAGAGGATGCAGCGGAGGAGAATTCGAGGGTCGAAGCGGTGCGGTGACGG